CAAAATACTATACCCCAAAAGGTACCAATATCCCCAAATAAAATACTACTCAAGTGTACGTCTCATCCAAGTGGCCTATGCCAGGGTCGATCGCCACCGGAGGCGGACGCTGCAAGCCGATAACAGCATTCCGGGCCTTGCTTTAAGGAGAGCTCTGGCAGCAGCCCTGAAAGTAACCCTCTCTCTCTAGCCCTGAAAGTAACCCTGAACCAAGGATCTTATACGAGCCGTATGAAGTGACAGGGTCTCTGTTTTGGGGGCTGAGAGAACCCAAGTCCCCTTTAGGCTCAAGGTTTTCGAGAAGTCTGGAATCTGGAAAGACAACGTCTTAGTCTGATGATTAAGCTTGCATGGCAAGAGTCAGACTTTCAGGAATCCGTGTAAAGGCCAAGAAGAAAATGTCGCAAAGCTACGAACTTCCACGATCACTAAACCCTCATAGAACCTGGAACCTCAACGACAGGAGGAAAGGTGTAAACACGTATTCCTCCAAAGGAATCTGTCGCTCAAAGTCTTTCCATGCTTTTGGAGGGACCTCTACATCCAAAACTCTTCAGACAAGCAATCCTAAACCCCACAACCCTGAGCCTGCAGATCCCTCCCCGACCGGAGCATTGGTTCGAGACATGCTCACGTGGGCATAAGGGAGGGGCCCCACAAAGCATGCCTCATCTGAGATGCATGGATTCCCTACATTTCCTGCCTTCCGGAGCCCCTCTCTGAAGTTGGTTCCCTTTTATGAGTCACAGATCCACCTACCTAAGGAGAACTCTGTCACTGCTTGGGGGTCCTTTGTACTCGAACATGGTGTTACACGCTGGTTTTTGCTCGAAGCAACAAATGAAAGAAAAAATGTCTTTAGGACCAGTGAGAAGTGGTTGAGTGCCTGAGCTCTATGCAACCCTAGTGTCACAGGGTACTGGTAAGGAAACTCTGTGGGGTGCCCAGCTGTTATTTTCTGAGAGATGGATTTACAGAGGGCAAAGAGGCGTGTCAAGCATCCTAGAGGCTTGCAATAGGTAGGCAATTCGGTGGCTGTCAAAAATAATCTCTACTATCTAAACTTAGGGGTTCTTGGGGCCCCCTTTGGTGTGGTGGGGGTTTGCACTTGCTCAAAACATGTATTTTTTGCAAGTCACGGAGATGTAGAGAGACTAGAAGGGCTTATAGGGGCCCTTGGATTGTGCTGGGAAGATTCTGCGAATCCTCTGCGGCAGTTTTTCCAAGCTTTCATTGCGCTCTGAGTGGCTGTTCACCGCAAAAAGGCATTTGCAGGTACTTGTAGCTCTGTTGCCAGGTGATTCTGACCTATAGCAGATGCTTTGGAAACTGGTTGCAGATTAGGTTGGTTACAACTGATTGGTGCTCATGATTTATGCTCAGAACGCCAAGAAAAGCACACAGATTGATCACTCCCATGTCGAATCACCTTGGTAACATATCCCTTCCCTGACGGGGCCTTGCGTGCGTCCCGAAACCGGAGAGCTGCATATAGCTAACTCCCCACTTGTCTTATCTTAAGAGCCCTCCTATTTGGGTACCCTATACAGATGAATCTCCGAAGCAATAGCAGTCTGTGTAGCACCTCTTGGAGAAAATCGTCCCAAGATCAATTGCTTCTTCCTCGGTTTGGGGGCACAGTGCTGCATTACAGCTTAAGGTACCGGGAGCCGGCGACCGCTGCACACGGCGGATATCCGCTTGTTGATGCAACCGGTTGCCGCGCAAGTGTTGCCTGGACACTCCTCCGACCGTGTAGAAGTGGTGCCAAAAGGGTAACGCAAGAGGTGTGGAAATCCAATAACTTGGCCATCGGCAGTTTTTCAACATCAGGATCATCATGGAATCCTGAATTAACATCCTTGTCATACAGCCCCTGACAACACAAAGAACAGCGCCTGTTCTGTTGGAGTCTGTCGTGCAAGAGGACTGAGAATGAATCGGATTCAAACACAGAGACAAGCCTCGAAATGGGCCGTACACAATGCTAACAAGTTTCGAAGAAGGTTTGCAGCACTAGCTCCTAACAAGCATTTGTGGAATCCTCATGGCACTCAGCTTGACTCCTTGATCAAGGGAGGATAGATTTCTAGGGCCCCTAGGAAGCAACCTTCAAGAGACTTATTATGGAACCTAGGGGTTTCTCAGAGGGTCTGTCCTATCTGGAAGCCCCTGGCAAAAATCTACCGGGCAGAGAGATAGAATCCAAGCCCTTAGCCAGCCTGAAGCGTGTTCCACAGTATATGGAAGATTCTGAAAACTCTTTGGGTCCGCCATCCCCTCGCGAGCTATTTTTTGGGGCTTCCAAAGAAGGACCATTATCTTGACAGTCCTCCATACCTGCTGGATAGGCGACGGCTTCACTAACTATAAAATCCATGATAGGCCTGAACTTTTTGGGAAGGAGCCAGCCATAAAGCGCAGTTTGAATCCGTTATTGGCAACAGACTTTGCCAGGATAACCACCCCCCTTAGTAATCTTCAATCTTCACTAGAGAAACACCCACGGCCTCCGAGGTGTCCAAGCAGGTCCTACAACGAAGCTGACGCCTCTCACTACTCTGCAGCAGTCTCAATCGCCTGAGATCAGAGAAAGGATTCCACGCAGTCATGGCTGTTGAGCAGTCTGCATTCGCAGACATGTGGCATCCTTTGTCTGGTTCTTAAAGGGTCTTCAAGCGCAACAAGCACTCACGCTTCCCTGAGTCTGTTGTAGCAGCTACCCTATGCCCAGGGTTTGATAAGGCTGTCCACACTTAGTCCCATCCTATCATCTGAGAATACATCTTAAACGCAACGCTTTCTCCTTGCCAGACCCCCATCGCTATCCTTCGCTAGCAACGTTGGAAGCCCTTCCGCTTTGCTGGGCCTGGAAAACAGACATATCTTGGAGCGAGATATAACTCATCCGTTAGAAGCCTCCTCTGGGTCTGACTGCTGCTCGTGATGTTACAGCTCCTCCTCTTATGGTAACATTGATGATGCAGAGGATAGGTGGTGCTCTCACCGAACAACCTTGGTATAATGGAAACTTTTGGGGCCCCTAATTTGATTGCCATCCTTAACGCTTTTCGTGAGTTGGGGATAACCCAGTAGCATCCTTTCCAACATTCCTTCTGGCCTCCTGAATGAACTGCACAATCGCCTTGTCGGCCTCAGATTCAATCCAGACTTGGACGCTGTGAAACTCTGCGAGCAAATTTGGCACCTATTCTATGGCATCCCAGAAAGAACCCCTACGTCAAACAAAAGCCTCAACTCTGGATTGGGAGTCGAGGAGTCTCTACGACAGGCAGCTGTCTATCGCTCGAGAAGGGCGGTTCCCCTGTGCACTGTAGTTGCCTAGATGATCACATAAGGCTTTGGAGTTATAGGGATTAGCAGTTAAGATTTCGGTGCTACATCAGGCTTCTACATTACTCAAGGTTTCCGCTTGCTTGTACCGTATAATCTTCTTACTGTTATTCGAGACTACCAATACTACGACTGGTTCTCTTTCCATAATCATTAATTATTATGTCTATTCTTGCGACTTTTCTGACTGGTTTCTTGGAAGTATTCTGACTGGTTCTTAGTAGGGGATACGGGAAGATATTAAGTATTATGCACGGCTTGTTTTGTGAGCTTGCTGCTCTTAATCTGGCAGCTTTGCAGTACAAATGCTCTTTGACGAGTTGGAAGTCTAAGTGTTTACCACGAAAAAAAAAAAGCTTTCCTTCTTTGCGCATGCAGCGCTTGATGCGTTAGGTGCCTGTGCTGCGCAAGAATATTATCCCACCGACCGTGATGAAATATGTCGTACCTGCAGGAACCTAAACATATCGGGAAGAATCTAGATTTCAGGGGGGTAAGGCATTAGGGGGGGTACACAGGGGGGAGAAGTAACCAAACAAGCCAGCACAACCTTCTCTACTTGAGACTTGATAAGTCCTTGGCAGGATCCAAGCTTTCACCTCCGCTACATGACAACGAGCATGGGTAGAGATGTCTCAAAACATGGATTCACACAATCCGCCGGAAGTACATCAGGGTTGCAAAACACGATGTTAGGTTCAAATGGGGAACAAGACAGCGGCACGGATTTGAATCAACCTCCTTGGAATTGCTATGCACCTAGTCCTCTTTGCCTCTTTGTCCCATTCCAACGCATCAAGCACAAACCCCCAAAACCAAAAAGTCCCTCTGTCCTGCTAGGGAGTCTCCAAATATAGTAGTTTCCACAAATAGGGGACCCAAATATAGACCCCCAAGCGCTATATAAAACTTTCCTACGGGCCCCAAGAAACGGACCCCTCATTCTAGAACCCCTCATATGTCGTCAAACATCTCCTGCACTGTACTTATAATGCTCTTGAGAAACTTTCTTAAACCCTATAAACCTTAAACCCTATATAACCCTATAAACTATAGTAGCTTCCATTGTCTTTTCCATTGCCCCAATATAACTTTGACAAAAAGCCTGAACCTGGCCCTCCCCCCACCCGGTGTCCGCCTCCTCCGCCCCAGTCACCTTAGATCGCAAGGAATTTAGGGTGTTGGGTTCAGGGATAATGGAAAAGAAAATGGAAACTACTATGCGGTATTGGGGTTATAAAGGGATAATGGAAAAATGGAAAGTACTATAATCTATTGGGGCTTCCATTCCGCCCTGGAGCTTCCATCCCCTGCGTGGTAGAGATTGAAAAAAAACTGTCCGTTCTCGATGAAATAACTGCAAAGTGGGTGAAGATGAAGGCTTATGTAAGGAATGCTTAAGCTTGAAAAAACCGGGGTTTGGGACTCTACTTGTATCTGGGACCTGTAGTTTTACCTCTGGCTGAGAGACAGTCAGGGATATCTTGAACATATACCCAGGTAGGTCTATCTACGAAACAGTAATTGGTGGCGTCTATAAAAGTACAAGAGACGATGGGATATGAGCTGGTTCTCAGATGTAAGCTGCATTGTTCTCCATCTAGGAAGTACCTCGCCCTAATCACAACCCTGCGCACCCCCCTCTCATAACTGCTTCCAATATGCTAACATACCACAAGCGGAGAATCTCTTGTTAGGTGGCTGGGGTCAGGATTCGGGAAGGGCATACTATATTACTATATGTTATGGCCAAACAGCTGGAGAGGGATAAGAGTAAAACAAACCCTCCCCATAATGTGAGAGCCCGCCACACCGCGAATATTGACAGTTCTCTTCCAGCCAGAAATCCCCACGTCACTGCCCACCAGCAAACACAACAGCTGGGTTTGCTGCTGATGAACAGAGGCCACGTCTTCAAAGACTGATCTGTGATAGGTTGCGGTGAGTAATGGTTTCCATTTTCTTCTCCATTATCCCTAAACCCCAATACACTATAGTTTTTTCCACTGTTCCATTATCCCAATATTACCCCAATATTATAGTAGCTTCCATTTTCTTTTCCATTATCCCATTATAACCCAAATATAACCCTAATATATACCCTATAATCCCTATATAACCCCTATACAATCCCTAAACCCAATGTAACCCAAATATAGCCCTAATATATACCCTATAATCCCTATATAACCCCTATACAA